GGTTTTGTGGTTGGATGCGTTGACAAACTTGTGGCGTAGAGCTACTGTATTTTGCCCTTGACCAGGTAGCGTCGTGTTTTGGAAGTTTTGGATTGACCTCTTGGACCATGTCTGGACAAGTGTTTACATGCAAGCTCCCTACGTAGCCCTAGGCGAGGTTGTAGAGTTTGGGGCTGGGTTTTCTCAGAACCGGCTGTCATGCCGGCTTGTGTGCACTCAGCACACTTTCTGACCCTTCTGGGCTCTAGATCCTTGGCCACTAGCACACGAAGTGTGCCAAAGTTCAGGCCTTTGGACGACTGATGTCATGGAGGCTTTGTTGCCTTTTGCTTTTCATGCCCGAAGGGCATGCTCCAGACCCTTGCATGAGCGGCCAATGTGCACGTGCCGTGTGTTGGCTATGCTGCTGCAGCGGGACGCTAAGGTCGTTGGCTACGTACGGCACTTTGCCAAAACCTCCTTGGCTTTGGCTTCCACCCCTACACCCCAACCCCAAAGGCTCAGACCCAAAGAAGTTCGTGCTGGCTCTGCTGGTGTTAGTCCATCTTTCCGTGCATCTGGCAGCAAAATTTTCAAAAGGCTCACATGGCTCACATCTTCCCAGGCCCTAGGCGTTCCTGCATACTCGTACTGACTCGTACCTGGCTCTGGCTGCAGCATGCGCGCTGTTTCTGGCTCCGCCAGACAACTCTGCGAATGGACATGGCGAGGGTGCACAAAATTGATGTGAACGCAGCTTGTGCATGCGTAAGAAGTGACATACGTACATGGATGGCGCACCCTCTGCCCCATCCTCGTAACTGTCAATACTTCTGCGGCCTCAACCTCCACGAGTGACGACAGTTGCGAGGATGTCGCGCCCCCCTGCCTCATCCTCGCAACTGTCAGCATGTTTAAGGCCCGAACACTCGGAAAAGTGACGACAGTTACGAGGATGGCGCAACTGTCGGCACTTTTGAGATGGCGCACTTGAGGGCCCGACGTAGAAAGCCCAAAGCTGTGCGAAAACGCTGGGTTTCCGCAACTACAGCAGAGGCGCGACACGCGCGGACGCTTTCAAACACAAGACACACAATTTCGGTAAACTCTGGGAACCCCTACTCTTAACCGCCTTTACACAATCCTCCAAATTTAAAACAGTTCTGAATTCTGAAATCGGAAGTGTCAACCTTGACCCCAAAATAGAAGTTGTTGAGTTTCGGCCTTCCAGAATTCCCGGGCCCCCCCCCCTCACCCCCCCTCCCCCCAGAAAAAAACAGTTGGTTGTAAAAACTTCTTGGAATATTAGAAAGTCATCAGATCAACTAAATCTTTAGGTGGTCCCGGAAAGCCACTCGAAGAGGAGTGTCACCCACTTGTGCTAGTGTGAGACGCGAAAGGGTTGTTGCAGTCGCATCTAAACGCTAACCAATACTCAGGTCACAGCCCGCCTCGCCGAAAGCCGAGGAGTGGACGTTGCCAGAAACCTAGACTAAGGGGTTGGTCCTGCGACTCAGCAACCATCAAAAGCAGAGACTTGCTCCGTGAGCGGGTGCTGATGCAGGCTTTTTGCGTCGCTCTCACGAGAACACTGAGGCCCACCGTTAAAGAAGCAGATCCACTCAGCTTGCCGGGAGCCCAAGTCCTGAAAGCTCTCAGGTTTTTCTGATAGCCAATTCGCTTGGTTGGAGGTCCAGGCACAAAGCACTCTTGCAACCTGCTCCACGGGATCGAGACTGCTCGGCTGGCATGGACGATGCCAAGATCAAGGATGAAATTTGTTGGTCCCACCTTCGAGAGCCCCAGTAGACCCTGCAAACTGAGGCAGCCGAGAATGGAATGAACTGTAGGTTCCTTTGGCGAGCTGCCCGTAGTCGTGCATGGACGTTTTAGGTTATCATGCAGCGCAAGCCTCCTCAAGGATCGCATAAAGCTTCCACGGCTTCGGTAAAGAGCTATAGGTAGTCATGTTGTTGGGATATTGAAGCCTCGTTTCAGCACTGGTTCAGGTCCATGGGGTCTTCGGGTGGACTCATTGCCTGGAGCAAGGGCTTGTGGAGCACTCAGCAACCAAACACTGTTGACCCATCCTGTCTTTAATCACTTGAGGCTGGGTCATGGGCCTTAAGGCACTACACTGCTCATTTGACTTTGATAGGTGAGTTTGGGAAATCTTCGTTTGGGCTTCCGGTGTGCTGCAAGGGTTTTCTTGGGGTGTCGCGTGCTTTCGATCTAGCGCTGCTCATTTTGGAACCTGCATGTGGACGTCAAAAGTCACTGGCCCAAACTTGAAACCCTACTACATACATGTACCACCCAAGGCAAGGAGCGCAAACCGTTGACTTTGATCCTTCAGAGTTCTGGTCTCCTGACTCCAGCCTGACTCGCAAGGCAGCCGGATGCCTTGTCACCACAGGCTTCATTGGCAAGCTTCTTCCCAGTGACCCAGTGACGTGACTGGTCCAGGTCCCCAGGACTCTAGCATCGCAAAGGGCCCGAAACCCTAAACCCTAAACCCTAAACCGCAGGTGGCAAAAAAACCCTAAACCCTATTCGAGCTCTGGGCAGTCTGCCTTAAAGCGGTTCCCCTCAGCTTGCTTTTTTTGCACTGATGCTTAGTCCTGGTATCTGCACCCTAAACCCTAAACCCTAAACCCTAAGCCCTGAACGCCCTAAACCCTTGGAAAGTCGTTGTGGCACATCAAAGGCCAACGACCCCAGAAAGCCTGATGACTTTTGTAACCCTCACGCAAACATCCTGGTAGATGGGAAAGTTTGAGGCCCTAAGCCCTAAACCTTAAACCCTGGGTCCCGATGATGTGCTGGTTCACAGTGCAGCCGCGCTCAGTTGCTCAGACTCAGAGACAGCGCCGAGTAGACTCTAAACCCGAGGACCGTTAGGAGGCCCTAAACCCTAAACCCTAGGAGGTTCAGGAGGAGGGTTAGAGACTGAAGGACTGAGTCGGCGTGTACAGCCAGGTAGGCCTCCAGGTTGCCGGAGCTGGCGACCATGTCTCACCATCCGATGCCACTTCTTTCTGAGCTCCTTTCGGCTTGCAGCCGTAAATCTAAACCCTAAACCCTAAACCCTAAACCCTAAACCCTAAACCCTAAACCCTAAACCCTAAACCCTAAACCCTAAACCCTCGTCCGAGTGTGAGCGATTAAACCCTAAACCTTAAACCCTAACAAGTGCAAAACGGTGCAAGGCGGAGAAGCTTGGGAACTGCTCGCCGCTTCTTATGTGGGAAGCTGGGAACGTGTTGTTGCATGCCACGCTGTTCATACCATCCTCATCCCTCACCACAAGATCATAAAAGCCTGTAATGAGCTCTCCCCCATAGCCCGTAGTAGTCCAGCACAGCTTCCCACCTGTTATTTCCGGACAGGCTTGCTTCCAGAACTGGCTCTGTGCGTACATGCCACGGCATTGCGAAGAAGCATAAAGAGGAGGAAGAAGCACAATATGGCAGGAGGCTTTTGATCGTTGCACGAGCGGAACGAAGTTGTTTTCGTTGAAGTTTTTGTCGTGTATCGGGCTTTCTTTTCCAAGTTTTTGTGCCTACATCTGAACCATGACCGTTGTAGGCTCAGACCGAACAGTCGCTATTTCCAACGGCCTCTGAGCTCGTAGACTTTTATACCCTAAACCCTGAGCCCTCAACCCTCGAGGACTTTGCTCGGAGGTCTTTTCAGGCCTTTGCTTGACTTGGGCTTGCCTTCGTCGGCGCTCGCGGAATTGCAGCCTGAGGTCGCCATGTCCGATGCCTCCTCTGCCTCTGATTCCAAACCTCCATCGGGCGCCTGCACGCACCCGCAGCGGCTTAGTTCCGACAGCCATCAATGATCCTTCTTTGCCTTTTGCTTGCCTCGCAGCAGTTCTGGGGCTCCCAGCTATTGATTGCTTTCTGTGCCAGCCAATAGCCTCGTCTTTCCAACATATCGCGTTCCAGCCGCTTGCCTAGTGTCATGCCTGGACCAAAGAGCCGGCCACGACCCGCTTCTCAGATTGTTCCTTGATTCCGCTGGATCGAGCAAGACAACCCGCCCAACAGCTGCTTGCCAAGGAACTGACATCGCTTCATGCCCGCTGAGAAGATGAGAAGGAGAGGCGAAGACAGCATCGAATGAGAGGTCGACTCAGATGATGCACGCTCGCCACATCCCGCCATTTGCGGCCGTTCCATTCCATTTTGGAACGGCTTCGCCTCCCGAGCACACAGACCCGAGAGTGCGTGCGCTTGGGCGTTGGCCAAATAACATTAGAAGATGCGACGTCCTGCTTCGATTTGTCATTCCTCGGTGTCGTCTTCGAATGGCTGTCCAACTCTGTTCGAGGTCTCGGCTTGGTTGAACCGTTGAACCCCCTAACTTGACTGTAGTGCCCACGTGTGGATTAATGTTTGTTGATCCCAAATATGCATGTTGATCACCTTCCCTCGTTGGGGTTGGTGGCACAACGTTCCGCACGCAGTTCAAGCCGACCCCGATGACAGTCACAAATCCAGAAGCTGGAGCTTGTCGATGCCTCCCTCGTGCGAAGTTACGCAGTATTACGCAGTGCAACTACTGGGATTTTTTATAGAGTGCACCGATGAAGAGGCAATGTGCCAACAAGATCAGCCACCAATACCAAATCCTCCAAGTCCAGCTTCGGTTTGGAACGCCCCCAAAGCATGCTCAAGATAGGTCATGCGAGGTCACATACTCATGCGAAGATTCGAACACTGAGATTCCTTGGGGGATTTAGAACCAGTTGATATTGTTTTAGTCTAAAGTTGGGTGCTTACCACTAATGTTATACATTCCTTATACGTTCCAGGCAAAGCAAGATAGCAGTTCAGCGTCAAGCATCACATGCATATCAAGAGCGGACATTCACTTGCAACCCCTGCCCCCTCCCCCTCGAACTCTTTGAGGCTCCTGGTTGTTTGGGAAGATTCTCTGCCCTTCAGCAGTCGATGCAGCCCTTGAGAGAGACCTGCATCTTTTGCTTTAAAGCCGTGCCGCCCTGCTTTGCCATGTTCTTGCATCTGCTGGTCGCGGCTGCCTTGGTCTGTACGGCGCAGGGCCAATCAAGGCGGCCGCCGCCGGCGAACAGCGCCTCAGCATCAGAGTTGTACTTGGTGCTTCATCGCCATCAAGAGGGATGTGTTTGGGTAAGCAAAACGGAATCCACAGCAAGGAGTCCGTTTTCTAGTGGTTGGGTTGTGAGAAGTTTGCAGTTACTTTCCTCAAGCAACCGAGTTCAGGAACTTTTGTGTCGAAGTACATTGATGGGATGATCAACAATCTCACCACACAGATGCGAGAAAAAGATCCCGTTTTGGCAGACATGTTCGGCAACTGCTTGCCCAACACACTGGACACGACGGTGCTCTTTCACGGCATGGATCATGAGGGCCTGCCTGACACGTTCATCATCACAGGAGATATCCATGCCATGTGGCTCAGGGATTCGACTAATCAGGTGTTGCCGTACATCCGCTTCGTGGACAGAGACCCTGCGCTCGACTTGATGCTGCAAGGTTTGTTGCGTCGGCAGACCAAGTCGGTGCTGATTGATAGCTTTGCCAACGCCTTCAATTTCGATGGTTCCAAGCCCTCACCATGGGCGAGTGACATCAGACACCCCAACATGACCAATGCAGTGTATGAAGGCAAGTACGAGTTGGACTCCCTTGCAGCATTTCTAAAGCTGTCGAGGTCCTATTGGCATCATTCCAAGAACGCCACTGTCTTCGACGAGAGTTGGCAGAGGGCGGTGACAAAGGTGATTTCAACCATACAGGCCATGCAAGCAGGAATGGACCAGTACACGGCCAATCCGCCCTACAAGTTTCAGAGAGAATCTGGGTTGCGAAAGCATAAAGCCTTGCCGGCTTCTTGTCGGGGACCTGTGTTTGCAACCCCTATTTGTCTGTCACTACAGCATCTAGTGACGCCCACTGGAAAGTAAGGGCAAGTACAAAATACAAAAAGGCAGCTCGAAGCACTTGAGCCTGCGCCGCCAGGACACCTACGCACCGACAGACACGCTGTCACAGGGCATTGGCCCTCCTGGAGCCTCCTGTGGCTTGAGCCGCTCACCTTTTCGGCCCTCAGACGATGCCACGCTGTTGCCCTTTCTCGTGCCGGCGAACGCCATGGCGGCTGTGGAGCTGAGGCAGGTGGAGCTGATGTGGCTTGGCGTTTTTTGCTTGCGCTGAGGTGGCTTCTTGTTGTGCTATGGGATCTCCAGCACCACCTCAAGGATAACGTATATAAGCATGCTTTAGGAAACACGCTCGGGTGTTGGACATCGGAGTTTCTTATCTTCTCCGATGTCATGCAGAGATCCTAAGCCTCGGATATCCTCATGATCCCGTGCTTCCCACTATTGTGTGCTGAGAGCTGCTCCCAGGTGTCATGAAGTTGGTTGCAAGGGCACTCTCGCGCACTCTCTGGGAGCTTTGGCCGAGGAGTTGTCCAGGGCAGTGCAGTTGCATGCCACGTCGGCACATGGTTTTGCATATGAGGTGGACTGTCATGGCAACAGCGTGTCCCAATGGTGGTTTGGAACGCTTTGTAATCATCTGCCCTTTGGTGGAGTTTGTGTTTGGGAGGTTTAGCTCGAGCAGTTACAAGCACCCGTGTTGTGCAGGTGTACATGGATGATGCAAACATCCCCTCGCTGCTCTCCTTACCATACCTGGGCTTCGTGGACCGCAAGGACCCACGCTACTTGATCACGCGCCAGCGAGTGCTCTCCAGCAAAAATCCTTACTTCTTCAGAGGCGCAAGTGGTGAGGGCATCGGAGGACCACATGTGGGATATGGCTACATTTGGCCGATGTCCATCGCCATGCGGGCGCTCACCTCAACTGAAGAGTCCGAAGTGGAGTGGTGTTTGGAGCTGCTGAAGACGACTACAAACTCTACAAGATTTATGCACGAGTCTTTCTGGAAGGACGACCCTGCCAGATTCACCAGGCCTTGGTTTGCATGGGCGAATAGCTTGTTTGGAGAGCTGATATTGATGGTGGCTGAGCGATACCCTCACTTAATCTTCAAGGCTACAGTCTTCTCTTGATCACCTTGATCAAACGCCCTGCAAGCCGTTCAGGAAAGCGTGGAGAAATGTACTCAATTGCTTTGAGCACACCTTACTGGGTGGCGAACGTGGATTTCTAGAAGCTTGCTGTGCCCCCTTCTAGCAACTCAGGCGTGAAAGAAGGACAAGAAGACCCTGGCCGCCTTATAGTGGTTCCCTCATCAACTGCACGCATTCCGCCGTGGTATTTGTGGACCGTACATGTACTCCCCACATGCTCCCTTTTACCCCCCTCTTGCCCCCTTCTTACCCCCCTCTTACCCATTCCAAACTCCCTCTTGCCCCCCTCTTACCCCCCTATTCATACTCCTATTATTACTACTACGACAACAATGACGCATTGCCCAGACCCGCAATAAGATGCGTGTTTTTTTGAGTCCAAGCGCCACGAAAGTTCCAGAAGTCACCAACAAGCCGAAAAACATGGGGGGGGGGGGGGGGGGGGGGGGGGGGGGGGGGAACCAGGACTTGCTCGAAACCACAATACAAATGCTGTCTATTAGTACTGAATCGATGGTTTTGGGAGCCTTCGCGATCAACGATGAGCGGCGAAGCACCAGAATAGAATCTGTTTGCATTGGGAATTCGGCAGCCTTCCAATGAGACTTTACTGGTCAGCGTCATGGATCAGCATCATCATCATCATCATCATCATCATCATCATCATCAACCTCATCGTCGTCGTCGTCGTCGTCGTCCTCGTCCTCGTCCTCGTCGTCGTCACCGTCACCGTCACCGTCACCGTCACCGTCACCATCATCATCCCGATCCTCAGAGTCGCTCATCTTCCTGCAGTGATTCAGAGTGATTCATGTCAATGTGGAGAACATGTGCGAATTCTGGAAAACCGCAATCTTTGAGCTCACACAGGTCTGTTAGGGTTTGCTGGGTTTTAACAGAAGGCACGTCACTCAGTTGGGATTGGAATTCGGAGCTCGGGACTTTGCAGGGGCCTGCGATAATGCCGCCCGATGGATGACCAATACTGCAAGGATGCGTGCCTCATCATCGTAGGTCCAGGCAGTGACGACGACTTGCTGCTTGCAAAGAGGCGACTAAAGTGCGGCGGCCGCCTGATCCACATTCTCACCGAAGGTGAAGGCGACAAGCGGGTAAAGATTAAAGATATCTGCTTTCGTCGAAAGTGTGGGATTTTTCCGATGGCAACCTCCGCGATTCTACGAGCCGTCGCCTTTTGCCAGCAAGTTGGGCTATCAAGAGGAAACTTACTGGACCAAAACGGGCCCCCTTACCATAAAATTGGCGGCTGACCAGGAATTGGAGATTCAAAGGTCTTTCGGCCAGCTTCGCCATATCCGCATCTACGATCAGACTGGCCGAAATCTGGTGGAGATGTCCGGGCAGGTAGTTGTGAATCCTGATGCACAAGCAGCTGCTTCAGCAGATGTGGCGGTGGTAAACCACGACATGAAGGCGTTCGGGACAATGACCTGGCGATGGACACTTTTGTCTCTGGCGGTGGCTTCTGCCTGGCAGCTTGGATGATGGCTAATCAGCATCTACTTCGAGGCGGCCGCCGAGCCAGGTCAAAGGCCTTACTGGCGGGGTGCGATCTGCAGTGCCAATGCTTTGGTGACGTGCCTTTACCTGGTTTTGGAGATGTTTTGCGGTGCGCTCTGTGGTGAGAGACCGGCGTGGTGGACCTGGCACCTCGCATGGGTGGTGGTTGCCTTGGTCACGTGCACGCATGGTTTCCCAATCTCCGACTTCTGGTACCATTACCTAGGAATGTTCACAGCCACCTCCATCGCAGTGTGTCAATATGTCCTCAGGCGGAGCCATTTCCCGCGGCGGCGCTTCTGGTTTTGCTTTACGTGGCTGTTATTGATTTTCGCCACAACCATGGTCTACGCGAAACTTCAATGCGGAGTTTCTCTCCTGTACAAGTTCATCAACTTCCGTCTTCTGGTCGCTGCGGGGCAGAGCAAGTTAGCCGTGCGCCTCTTTGCGCCCAATGCATGGACGAAGCTGCACGATCACGCCAAGGTCTACGGAGGTTACGCCAGGTTCGTAACCATCCTGTCCATGGTTGCTGCTCGCGCCATCTACTGGCAGGATCTGTTCAGCTCGCGGGCCCCGTCCTTCAATCTCTCTGCCGGTCTGGCCGCGTGCTGCTTCGTGTTCACGGAACTTTTGGAGGACCTGATCGTTCTGCGAGAGTGGCTTCCAGAAAGCCCCATCCCGAAGGAAGTGCTGAAAGAGCACCAGAAGTTTGACAACACGCACCCCAGCCAGTTGTTGGCAGTTCAGTGGCAAGCCGAGGATGCCTTCGCAGACCCGGATGATGTGTGGCATTGCAATGAGCTTGACGGCAAAGGTGCGCGAAGAACCTCATTCATGGCAGAGTCCGTGTCGTTCATGCCTACCTCAGAGGTTGTCGAGAAGCGTGTCGCGTTGGGGCACCGCGAAGAAGGTGTCCATGCTCGTCTCCGCGAATGGCTGGGCCAGCCGCGTGGCGTGACTCCTTGTCCGGCTTTGCACGGCTTGAGAGAATTCTCTGTTGCAGCTCAGCGCGATAAGCATTCTTTGTGAAATTTCGAACATACAACTCGCCGCTTTGCTTGGGGCCGGCTATCAGAGGGGCATCTGTGCAACAGCCTGTTCCGGGAGCAAGTGCTGCATGGAGGCCTTGGTGTGGCTTGTGCCCATGTCAGAGAACTGCTGAGTCGCGGCTTGTTGATTGGGGTTTATGTCAGCCTGCAGATGTCGAGATTATGCTACGCATGACTATACTGTCGTATAGTGGCTAGAAAAAGCATGTCGTATTGCATGTCCGATGACAAGACTTGCGATTCTACTAAACTGCAGCGCCAGCAGTGCAAGCTTTTAACGCACGCCGCCGGGCCTCGGCTTCCTATTCCCTTTTTGATGATTCAATCGAAGGTATCTCTTGTAAATATATCGTACGAAAGATGTGGCGCACATGTCGCGCATTTCGTTTCACATTTTTCAAGAAGACCCTTCTTCTCCTGTGCAAGCTTTTCCAGGGTACTTGGGGGCAGCTTGCAAGATTTTCCCCCTTTCGAAATCGCTTCGGCGCAGATGTCGAGGAAGTCACAATAAGCCAATTCGTGCATTTTTCTATACGTTTCCTTGCATAACCTATTTACAACAAAAGACTACAATATGTAGCAATATATTACGTAGACTACATGTAGGACTAGGAGGTTATTGTATGTCCCAGAGCTGTCTCACGCGATAATCAGACCGGATCAAAACTTTTGCCAAGGGCGGAAAATGTCGGAATATAACTTAGAACTCCAGGGGCGATTGGAAGATTAATTATTGCAAGAGATGAGTTTACTTTGTTGTATCGTTTTCATACGTACTATTAATCATCCGAATTGATGGCCAAAGATTCAGGATCATGGCGGGAATTTCATTCTCATTTAGATAATTCTCATTCAAAGACATCTTCATAATTCTTGTCGTTACGAAAGGTTTAAGTTTTCATCAAATATTATCAAAAATTCTCGAAGACGGTCGGCTCATAATTAAAATTCATGACGACGCATCGGTTTTTTTCAATTAGGCCAATTGCAAATTTTTAATGAATACATACCGATATCAAATTCGGAATTATCAATGATCATGGAATTCAATATATGGGTCGACATTTTGCAACATCTTAAAATAATTCTTCGGCATTCCCCAATAGGAATCCTTACTTGGCTCGATTGGTGTTATGGGATTGGGTCTGTGGTCTCCCATGGTCTTTGATTATGAAAATAAATGGGGTCGATGGATATCATGGTTTGGGTCTGCGAATAGCTTCCGGTCATGAATGATATGGTTGGGAGGTTGTCATTCTGAAGAGTTATAGACTCGTGGGTTATTGGGATTGGGTGGGTGTCATGTGGGTTGGGCCCGTGGTCTTCTCTGATCTCCGATTATGAGTATGGGGATGGGGAGGAGATCATATTGTTTGGATTTGTTTGGTCTCATGGTCGGTCATGAGGGACAGGGGTTTGGAGATTCGCTTATGATTTGG